TTTCTTCCGCGCCGCCGCAGCTGGCAGCGCCGCGCCCTCCGATGATCGCAGCGCCGCAAACCCGCGGCGCCGCGACGCCGCCGCTCGCTCCTCGCACCGCCCGCCGCTCTGAGGGCGTCTCGCGTCCGCGGTAGGCCCGATGGGCCTCGGCGCACCATCGGCTGCGTTTGGGCAGTGCGGAGGAGGGGCGCCCGGAGCGGGGATGCCGGGCATGCCGGGCGGGGGCATGGCCGGAGGGGGCATGCCGGGCATGCCGGGCGGCATGGGGGCCGGCATGGGCTGCGGTATGGGAGGCGCCCTCATGGGCGGGCTTGGCGCCGGGCAGGTACCAGCGCCGGTGCCGGTCGGCAGCTTGGCGCGGATGGCCCAGCCTGGCGCGCCGGCAGGAGGCAGCCTCCCGAACCTGGCAGCGATGCGCTCCGGCGGCGCCGCTCCCGGCGGAGGCGCGGCGCCGGCATTGCCCGCAGGTGTGGCTTCTCCCCCCTCGCCTCCCCGTTGCAAGCCTTGTTGGTGCGTCGGAGCCGCACTTCACCGGCGCTCGTCTGCTGCAGGCTGGGTGTCTGGCCGCGACCCGCACGGCCGCACGTACTACTACCACGCTGCGACAAACACGAGCCGGTGGGAGCCTCCGCCGGCATCGCCTGTGGCCCCGCCGGCGCTTGTGGCCCCGACGCCGCCAGCCCCGGCCCCGCCAGCGGTTGCCACACCCGCTGCCATGCCCTCCACCCCTGCCTCTACGCCCGCCCCTGCCTCTGTTGCGCCGGCGCGCTCCGCACCAGCCCAACCGGCGGCACGGCCAGTGGCGGCACAGCCGGCGGCGGCTCAGCCAGCGGCGGCTCAGCCAGCGGCGGCGCAGCCAGCGGCGCAGCCAGCGGCGCAGCCAGCGGCGCAGCCGGCGGCGCAGCCAGCGGCCCCTCCTCGGCCTGCACCGAGTGGCGGCGCGGCGCTGCCTCCGGGGTGGCAGTCTGGGGTCCGTTCGTAGTGCGTGCGGCCGATGCGCCGAGGCATAGACTGAGGTCCTTGGCCCCGCCACAGGTCGACCCGAAGAGCGGCGTCACCTACTACTGCAACCCGACGCTGAACGTGACGCAGTGGGAGTATCCGACTGCCTGAGGGCCTTTCTCGTGGCAACTGAATCGCGGTTTAGGACGGCTACGATGAGGCCATCGGATGAAGTCGTGCGAGGAGGAGAGAGGGGGAGAGGCTGGTGCGGGTCGAGCTGGGTCGGATCCGGTGTCTATGCATGTAACGTGGCGGGAAAGTGGACGGCGTGCAGGTGGGGGAAGGGTCTGGGTGTGAGATATGGGAGATGATAATGGGCGCGACGTGGCGGTGCCCCGGTGTGGGTTTGGCCGAGACCGGGTGCGTGTACCTGTAAGCGTGGCTTAGTCTACTAGCGATGCACGTCTGCACGTTGCGCGACAGCGAGCGCTGCGCAAGGCCGCTGCCCGTGCCGGTGCGCGCTGAGCCCTTGGTCTGACAGCCTGACAGCAAATACCCCCGTACAGCGCATGATAGTGCGCCCTACAGCCTGAAACAGTGTTGACAGCTCCGACAGCACTGTGTACACAGCTCCGACATGGGATGGTCATGCCTCATGGGTCTCTCTCTCAACCCTCCCGCCCCACCTCTGGCTCTGCGGACCCGCGGCTGTGCTACAACTACAGATGAAGCTACCAGCTAGCCTTCTGGGGCCCTACAGCCATATGCCTACGGCGTCTGGGTGGGGGTGGCCGCCGCCGTCTGTGCCGCGCCTGCCGTCGCCGCCGCCTGCGCCTGCGCCGCCATCTGCGCTCCCCAGGCGGACCCCTTCTGGCAGAGTAGAGGCTAGAGTATGTGTAGTAGAGTCCTGCTGGTCTCCTCTTGATAATGTCATAAGTGTGGATGGTGTGTCAGAGCCTGACAGCACCCCGACAGCACCAACCGACAGCACCTGACAGCACCGGCGTCTCTGACAGCAGCAGCAGCCCGACAGCTCTGACAGCTCCGACAGCGTCTGACAGCAACACCCGACAGCTCCGACAGCACCCGACAGCTACGGAGCCCCTCTGATGTCAGACACGCACCCGACAGCACCCGACAGCACTGACAGCACCTGACAGCTGGTCTGACAGAGGCACCTGACAGTGCCTGACAGTGCCTGACAGCCTGACAGATCACCTGACAGGTGACAGCACCTGACAGCCTGACAGCCAGGGCTCAGGGTGCGCGTGCGTGTGTGTGGTGCGTAATTCCCTTTCCCCCCCTCGGAGCTCGGAGAGGGCCGGACAGAGGCGCGCGCTGTGCCCCATGTGCCATGAGGAGCAGGACCGCGTCGGACGAGCCGCTGTTCCAGGAGGCGTGCTCGATGCGCACGCCGTTGAGGAGAGTGGTGACGGAGGGCGAGAAGAGCGAGGCGAGAGGCAGCATGGTATTGAACAGTCCCGGGAAGGAGTTCTCCGAAAAGAAAAAAACCTGCGGCGGAAACACTCGCGGGAAGAGTTGCCAAAAAAACAAAAAAAAGCCGACGCGGCCACTCTCGTGCCCCTGCTCTCGTGCCCTGCTCGTGCCTCTGTGTTTGTGCGTCGCCCATCTCTCCTGGAGATGTCTGCTCTATTTGCCGCATGACTTCTTTCGATGGCCGCACGCTCGCGTCCAGCGCGGCTTCGGCCGTGCCCCTTCTCGTCCACGGCAGAAGGCGCGTCAAAGAGGGCTTGGTCGACGAGTTCAAGGAGCGTTTCTCGTCTCTCGCCGCATCGTCGACAAGACCGGGCTCGGGTATTCACGCGATGTTCGCTTTCGCCGATCATGACGACCCGCGCGTTTTCTGGCACGTTTTCTGGTCTGCGGGAGCATCCTCCTTCGCGCACGATGCGAGTCAACAGGAAAGCTTGGCAGCGTATTACGAGAGCTCCGAGCAGGATCCGGACGCGTTGGATTGCTACGGCGGGTGGACCGAGGGACTGGCTGCGGAGTCTGCAGCTAATTCGTCGGTGACATACCGATTCCACGCTCCGATGGCGGGGTTCGTCAAAGCCGACGACGCGGGGCTGATCCCGGAAGGGCCTCCTCTGTTTGGCTTCACGAAGCGATACGTCAAACCGGGCTGCATGGACGATCTCGCGTCGTCGTTTCAGACCGTGAGCGATCTTTGGCGCGCGAAGGTGCCCGGAATCTTGGGTGCGTCGGTCTCGCGCGACCCCGATCACGCGGATCGGGTCCATGATCTCCGGCTCTTTGCGAACCACGACGCGTACCTGAAACACATGGATAAATCCGACGACGCGCTAACGGCCGCGATGGGCGTCTGGTTTGCGAACTACGACACGAGCCGCCCCTTTATCGGCGAGATCTACGCGCCCGACCCGAACGACGAGCGCCTGCACAAAAGCTCGGTCACGTCGAGCCCCGCGCCGCCGATCGGGCTCACCTCGTTCCGGCTGGGCGCGCCGGAGATGCTCGGCCCGATCCCGACAGGCGAACAGCGCAAGGCCTAGGTCGCAAAGTATACTAGAGCGCGGGAGCCCCCCTCGCGCGTCCGCTTGATTCGAGCCCTGCGCCGCGTGCGCATCCGGGCTGTCCTTCAAGATCAGCGAGCTCGCTCTTCGGAGCTTGCGGTCGGCGATACACTCGGGACCCGGTGTTCGGGCGCGTGCGGGACGTCGGGCGGCTGCGGGTCGTCGGCCGCGTTCTCGACGTTCGACGATTTGCGAGAGAGCGACGACGAGAGCCGATTGATGTGGATGAGGGCTTTCGCGACAGCGACGATGACGACGAAGAAAGGGGAGGGGACGGAGGGGCGACACGCAGGAGGGGCGAAATCGCTAACGGCCCGAGCAGAGAGGGCGACGGCGGGGCACGAGGGAACAACGGAGACGCTACCGATACGCGAACCGAGGCACGGACGCCGGCGGGGACGGGGAGGGCGACAGCGACGTCGAGGTTGACGCAACCGTATCGAGAGCGCCACCCAAAGGGGGGCGGACAGCCATGGAGGTCACCGAATGGAGGGCGAACGGCACGATACGAAAAGGCAGGGCGAGGCGGATGGAGAAAGAAGTGCCGAGAAGGCCATGGTGGAGGGGAGGGACGGGAGGACGAAAGAAGGGCGGGGAGGACGAGCGGCCCGCACAGTGCTCCAAGTGCTCCAAGTGCTCCAAGTGCTCCAAGTGCTTGATCAAGCGCCTGCTGGCCATTTCGAGGCATTCGCCAAGAACGCTAGCTACATGGGAGGGCTTCGTGAAGGATGGATTGAAAAACATTCGAACAAAGAAGAGGCGACGGGAGGAACCGGCGGAGGATGCAGTGACGTGACACACACACACACACACACACACACACACACACACACACACACACACACACACACACACACACACACACACACACACACACACACACACACACACACACACACACACACACACACACACACACCGCTCACCCACGCGCACTGGGCCTTGCACTTTGAATGCCGTGGGGCTCCTGTCGTCAGACGTGGAGACGCGAGGGTTGCCCCCCCTTGCCCCACCACCTCGTGTGTGTGGAGAAGTTTACCTTACCTTACCTTACCTGATCGCGAAAAACCGGTGGGGCGGCGCACGGTGAGGGCGGAGGGGGGAGCAATATCGTGGGGGCGGCACACTAAGGACCGTGTGGCGTCATGGCAATGCCAATGGGTTAGATATTGTGTTTCATCGAGTTTCATGCGTTGATGCGGATTCTTTCCTGCGAGGTGTTTGTCCTCTCGTGCTACTGGTTGGCCTTAATGCTTAAATAAATTTGTTTAATTTTATGAACACGAGCCGAACACCAAAATAATATGGAGGTTTACTTCCTTCTCTTTTTGTCGTGCCAACGAACCTACAAGCGCGAGGGGAAAAAAAACACGCGCCCCGCAGCTCCCCTCCCGTTGCTTATTATGCACGCTGCCAACAAACTCCCGCGCCGCAGCCTCGCGCTCCCCGATCTCTCTCGGGACCAGCTGCTCGCCCTCGTCGAATCGCTCCGGCCGCTCGGCGGAAATGGGTTAGCCGTGGAGGATTACCTGCGCACCGCCAGCTCCCAGGAGCAGGCCGGCTGGGAGCCGCTCTGCAGCGATGCTGCACAGCTGCTCGCGATGGGCTCACCTGGCGAGCTCGTCACCGTGCGCACCATCGCCTCCCCGGAGGCGCAGTCGTGCCTCGACGCCGGCGAACCGGCCGACCTCACGCTCCTCTCTGACGATCAGCGTTTCCGCGTGCACACCTCGGCGATGGCGGCCGCCTCCGATTTCCTCGCGGCGCTCTTCGGGGCCGGCATGACGGACAGCACCGCACGAGAGGTGGCGCTGCGCGAAGTGACTGCGACCGAGCTTCAGGCACTTCTCGAGCTCGTCTACCACGGCGAGTGCTCGGTGCGCTGCGGCGGCCTGCCGGCGCTCCTGATCACCGCGGCGCGGCTGCAGATGCCGACGGCCCAGCGCGCCGTCGAGGGGGCCATCGCGAGCCGCCTCACCGCTGCGAACGTGCTCGATGCGTGGGAGCTCGCTGAGCAGCACAACCTCCCCGCGCTGCGCGAGGCGGCGGAGGCCCTCGGGCGGGAGACCTTCGACTTCGGTCCGCTCGACTTCGGTCCGCTCGACTCGCACGAGACGATGCACCCCGGCTACCCGCGTGACATCCCGTGCAAATGCGGACGGCTGCAATGGCTCAAGCTTGACCGGGATCGAGGCATCTCATTCGAGCGTGCGGCCGCGCACGTGGCTGAGCTCCGCCTCGCGTCGGGCGGCGGGCTGTTCGAGGGCGAGGGCTTCTACGTCTCCCACAACTCTCTGCTTGGGCGTGAGAAGGACGTCCTCGCCTACGCCCTGCTCATCTGCAAGAGTCGCCATGTCCACGATAGGAACAACGAGGTCGCATTGTTCCGCGTCTTCCGGCCAGGCATCGGACCGGGGGTAACCGTGACTCTCGCTGAGTTCACTCAGAAGTTACCGAGTGGTGTTCCACGGTTCAAGCTGATCGCCGAGGACGACCCTCAGCTGGCCGCGGGGTGGACGAGATTGTACGATGACGCGCTGAGCATATGCGCGCACGGTCCACGGTGCAAGAATGGCTCGAGATGCACTGTGGGAAAGCGCGTGCAAACAAGGAGCATGCTGATCGGCTCGGCCATTCCGCACTGTGCGCGCCCACGCCCTGCCTCGGCACCAGCGACCGGCACATGCGCACATGCCTTGCGCGCACACATTTACATTCACACAGTGATTCCTGGATTATGGCCTGTGCAGATTGGAATGAGCTCAAGGATCTGATTTCGGTGCGGGAGGTCAAGGAGTTGAAGACGGTGGCTCGTACTGACGATTACAGCGACGACTCGGAGAGCGAGGAGGAGGTGGAGGAGGTGGTCGGCACCGCCCTGCAGCTCACCCGCGCCGAGCTCGGCGGGAGGCACGTCTTTGGACTGCCGCTCAAGCTCAACGGAGCTCCAACTGAGCGAAAGCTACGGGGCCTTGAGCTTCGCCAGCCCAATCCGCAGTGCTGGCTCGACACGGGCTACCCCCTGCCCAAGCAGCTCCGCCGCGTCATGTGAGATGATGCCTACACTCATGTGAGAGCTGAAGCCGCTTCGGCATTTCATCATGGTCGTCCGCCAAGGGTCCGGGTCGCCCAAACTTCCGAAAAATGAATTTTTTCTACAGATCTTTTAGAACGAGGAGGAGGTGAGGGAAGAAGCCGAAAAGAAAAACACACCGACAATCAACAGAGAGGGTGGGCTCGGCTCTCTACAAGCTCCTCTCTTGATGCCGGTGGGTGTAGTGGCGGAGGCGGCGCCCGCGGCGTCCAGCAGCGGCGTCGGGCTCGTGGCGGGGGTGGCGGGATGGCTGCTGTCGATTATCACCAGCCATGCTCCGGATGGCTGCAATCGCTGTGCTCCAGCCATAGCAGATGGCTGCAATGGCTGTGCCCCAGCCATCTTACCCAAAATGGCTGCGATATAGCCAGCTCAGCCATGAGGGCCCGCCCCGGGGCGGGCGGTATGGCTGCAGCAGCGAGCTTCCAGCCATCCCTAGTCAGGATAGCTGCCCTCTGTGTATCGCAGCCATCGGGCTGGAGGCTATGGCTGCACTGTAGCTAGCTCAGCCATCCTTAGGTAAGAGGCTGTGCAGGAACGTTCACAGCAATACTGCTGTCACATTCCGAGGTTAGCCGAAGGCAGAGGGCGAGCGAGCGCCCGACGTCGCCCTGTCCGACGTCGCCGCCCGCTGCCCCATCGGCCTCTCCGGCGCCGACTACTACGCGCTCTGCGCCGACGCGATGGTGCGCGCAATCCAGGAGGGCCTCCCGGAGGCGGAGGCGGTGGCGGCACAGGACGGCGCCGACGGCAGCGGCAGCGAGAGCGACGACGGCAGCGAGGACGACGAGGCGGACGGGGGCCAGGCGGCGGGCGCGGAGGGGCAAGCGGTCACGCAGGCCGAGTCGGTGCCGCCGCCAGTGGTGGCGGCGCGTCACTTTGACGCGGCGGTGCGGAGCTTGTTGCGCAGCCGCGAGGCGCGACCACGAAACAGCGTGGACGACATGGCTCGACTGCTTCAGGAGGAGATAGCGAGACACAGAGCTGCTGAGGATGTGTGAGATGTGCGCCGCAACGGCCGTAATTGCGCGTAGTGTGAACGGCCTACCCGAGGTGAGGGTAGGCGCAAATACAAACAGACCCCGCAGGCTCGATGTGTCGTTCTTCGCGGCTCTTCTTTTCGTTCAATTGATTGATTGATGGGAAGGCGAAACACAGTCCGACCAACGACTGGGACACCAACGCGGTATGGGTGGACGCAGGACGGGCGATGACGGTCACACAGGAGCGACACACAGAACCACAAGACAAGACACTCAGCCAAACTGACTGCCACACATCCTGAGCGAACTTCCCTAGTCACCCGCGGCCGGACTCCATCCGGCACGCGTCGCTGGGCGCTCAGAGCCGCGTCCCCTGCTCGCCACCCCGACGCCAAAGGCGCCCGAATCGAACGACAGGCGGCACGCGAAGACTGGTTGCAATCCCGCCGACCGCCAGGCCGCGGGATGATGCGTGCGTGGTCTTGGAGTGGGTCTCGGAAGCTCTCCTCTAGGGCTAGGGGCCAGCCCCTCTCCCTTGCCCTCGGAACAGTGTGTCCGAGTCGAGGCGTGTGCTTGCCGGTCGACGGCCGCGCGCGGTTGATTGTGACGAAGGTTGCGCGCGGCCGCGGCGCGCCCGCCATGGTTCGGCGCGGCGCGCCTACCAGCGGCAATTGTCGAGGCACGGGAACGCTTACCCGGGGTCGCACAGCAAAAAGAAGAAAACCGTTTCCCACTCGTGACACGCCTTCAGCTCCGGCGACTGCTTGAACAGCCGCTGTTGAGCACCATCGCGATGCTGTCCAAGCGCGCGTGTTTCGAGAAGTCGCTGCCCTGCACCGCCGCGCCAACGCAGCCGGTCACCGATCTCGGCGTGGACGAGAGCAAGCTAGAGGCGTGGTTCGCGTGGTACAAAAGCCACTGGCTTGCGCTAGAGCCGGAACGCCGCTCTCGCGGTGTGCGCCCCATCCGCTCCGGCCCGGCGGTTCACGCATCTCGCTCCGGGCCGAAAGCTTGCATCATACTGTTCGCCGTGCAACACGCGCGGCTGGCCCGCGCTTCTGCCGCCAAGAAGCTGAAGAACTGGCGCAAGCACGGCGGCGGCGACCTGGAGCCGGTCCTCGCGAGCGGCGCCGTCGCACTCCTCGACGCTCAGTGGATTATCAGCCACGCCGAGGCGGGTGGCGTCCTCGCCCACCGCCAGGCGCTGCCCAAAGAGGCCTTCCTCTCCCTCGCCGACCTCGCCGAGGCCACAGACGAGGATGACTTTCCCGTCGCCGCGCTCTCCTACCCGTGGCTGACCAAGGACCACCCCGACCCGCGCGGAGCCAACCTCTCCCGCGTCGCAAGGGCGCTCAAGGCCCTGCTCACTGACAGCCACTTCGCGCACAGCCCCCTCACGCGGCTCGGCGTCTTTTGGGACTTCGGCTCGCTGCACCAGCACCCCGACCCCGCCCACGGCGTCGAGCGCACCGAGGAGCAGAACGCGCTCTTCAAGCAGGGGCTGGGCTGCCTCGGCACCCTCTACTCCAACCCGCAGATTTTCGTGTTGCGGCTGACCTCCTTCCCGGACGGCCACAATGCGGAGGACCAGGCCGAGGGCACCAACGTGGCCACGTACTTTGACCGCGGCTGGTGCTTCTGCGAGAACAGCTGGGCGAGCCTGACCAAGGACGGCCGCCTCTCGCTCGACCTCGGCAAGATGCGCGACGGCGTGGAGTACGACTGGGGCAGCCTAACCGACGACTGCACCCAGGACGGCGGCCGGCGCCCTCCGCTGCTGCCGTCTGCGTTCGCAGCGGAGCTGGAGTCGAAGAGCTTCACCAACGGCAAGGACGACAAGCCGCTGGTGAAGCGGCTGTACGAGGCCGCCTTCTAGGAGCAGTTTGGCAAGGTGACCGTGCTGATCTACGGCGACCTCGGCTGGGGCGACGCGGAGGTGGCGCAGCTGGCGGAGGTCCTGGCAAGCGGGGCGGCGCCGCGGCTCGAGAAGCTCTGGCTCAACTACAATCAGATCGGCGACGAGGGCTGCAAGGCGCTGGCCGCCGCCCTCGGCAAGGAGGGGGCAGTGCCGCGGCTCGAGACGCTCTCTCTCGTTGGCAACAAGATTGGCGACGAGGGCTGCAAGGCGCTGGCCGCCGCCATCGGAAAGGAGGGGACAGCGCCGCGGCTCGAGACGCTCTATCTCGAAGGCAACCAGATTGGCGAAGAGGGCTGCAAGGCGCTGGCCGCCCCGAGCTTGAAGGCGCGAGACGAACCCCTCGCCGCACGCCCCTCCCCCGCCCAATGCTCATCGCGCCTCCCCTCGCGTGCTGATGCTCCGGTGCTCCGCGCGCAGATGCTCCGCGTCGTGGGCTGGGAGAACAAGGTGCAGCCTGAGCTGGCGGCCGTGTGCGAGGAGCGCGGCATCGACGTCTAGGCGAGCCCCGACCGGGCGGCAAGGGCGCGTTGGGCCTGGCGGGCCGCCGCGTGAGCACGGCAGAGAGCAGCAGACCCTGCGGCTGTCGTGTGTCGACCGCGGCTGCGAAGAGGAGAGTGATTCTGAGATCAGGTTAGGCGAGTGGCAGACATTTCAAAAAATGGGCGCCGCAGGCGCCCCGCGCTGCGTGCCCACCATGGTTGGGCGCGCAGCGAAGAAAATCTTGCGCTCGGCAGCCTTTTCTAATAGGAAAATGGCCTCTCCTCGGCGCCATACCGCTTGTCGGCGCACAGCGGAGTTCGCAAACCTGGCATGCTGCCCCCGCATTTCCGCGGTGGGCGCGCGCTGTGGCAGCGCAAGCCTCGGGGGTGGCTGGGCTCGTGGCGCGCCTGGTCGTCAACTCGCACCAGCGGCGGGGGCTAGGGGCCGCTTTTTGACGAGCTGCCTTGGCACAGGAGAGAGGCCGGCTTCCGCGAGCGACCCGATCGCTTGATGCTGTCGGACCACTGCTCAGGACACGACACGCGTTTTTTTTACTGTGCCGCTCTCGCGGCTATAGAGCAACACAAAAACAAAGTGTTAGAGTTGTTTGGTATTGCTAAAAATCTCAGGTGTGTGTTCTCTATAGAGGACGAAACGACGAACCTGCGAGGCGCGGCCGCTTATGCGGCCCGACGATGGGGAGGAGTGGGGCGGACTACGGGGATCGGCTTCTTACACAGCCCTTCCTCGCAGCGAGCCCCCTCCAACCCACCGCGCTAGGTCTCGGGTTCGACGCAAAGGGTCATCACTTTGACACCTCGGGAGAGGAGAGGGTTGCAACTAACTCCGTGCACCCCAGGGTTCCGGCTCCTACCCAGATAGGGGGTCTGTTCCCCACGGTTAGACCCTATGCAATAGGTAGGTAGGTCCGGTTTTGACCGCCCCAGAGGGCCCCGCAATAGGTAGGTAGGTGGTGGTGTGTGGGGGGGGGGGGGGGGCGGGGCGGGGGGCGGGGGGGGGGACCGCTTCGCTCGCGCGGGAGACGGCGCGTTTAGCCGCGAACAGGGCCGTCCAACGCGTCAAAAGCCCCGTAGGCCATGCTCTGGCGGGCTCGCGAGCGGCGCGCACCGCGGTACAAGCCGGCTGGGAGCCTATTGCTATTCGCAGAGGGCTAACGGGTATTTTTTCGCTTCGTTCGCTGCGCGGCCTGGGTGGGAATAGGTAGGTAGGTGGGGCACGGACCACGGAGCCAGGCTCCTGGCGATTGGCGCCCGCAATAGGTAGGTAGGTAGGGCGTTTTGGTGCGAGTCAGGGTTGAAAATCGGTTTTTCTTGCAAATCCGTTATTACTCGGAAAACGGAGGAAGAATTTAAACAAAAGGAGGAAGAATGGCGGGAGAATGGCGAGAGAATGGCGGGAGAATCTCTCGCAAATGAACAGCGAAGGGCGCAGTGAAAAACGAAAAAGCAAATCCGCAAACGCCTGGTATTCATGGTTAGGCACCGCAGGCCGAAGCATATCCACCCCTCCGAGAACCTCGAGAACGACACCTCGGGTCCGTGTGCACCCAGCTGGTGTGCACCCCAGGCCGCGCCAGAGATCTGCTGCGACCACACACCCCAGCAGCGACATGTCCCGCGCTCGCCACTCGTCCCGCGACATCGAGTTCGACCTTCCCGGAGCGCTCGACGACATGGCGGGCCTCGCCTCGAAGGCTGCGATCGGACATGGTGCACGAGACGTCGAGGTTTTCGGCAATGGCCGTCAGGGACGTCCCGCCGAGCGCCAGTCCTGCGACGTGCAGCCGCCGCCTGCGGCCAGCAAGAAGGACACCGTGGTTATTATATCGACCAACAACCCAGGCAGGCTCATGCTCTTTGCCGCCCTCAACCCAAAGCTCGGCGAGGTTTGCATCACCGCCACCCACGTCTCACCACGGCACACCAAGCCCGGGCCTCGCCCATTTGCTCCACGCCGCCGGGCACCCCTCGTGGCAAGGTGATCGACTGGAAGACGCCCGCCGATTACGGCGGCTTTGGCGGCGACGAGTTTGCAAAGGCGACGGAGCAGCGCGACAGCTAGCCGGTTGCACGGCTCATGCTCATGCTCACCGCCCGCCGCAGGTCTCGCCACAAAAGCTGTGTCCCGTGGCCCTCACCGCCGGAGGGTCGCGCGGCGATTCACGAGCGGGGACCGCCGCCGCCACCATCTTCTCACACCGTCGCGCTCTGCGTGCAGGCTGCGCCTGTTCGAGTCGGACGTCATCCTGTCGTACGTCGCCGACAAGTACGCTCCGCTGCTCGAGAACGACTGCCGCGGCCCGACGGTCGAGGCTCGCGCGCTGAGCGCCCTCCTCGTCCGCGTGCACGATATGTACATCTCTGGCACAAACTGCTCCCAGCCGCAGTTCTTCTCGAACCAGGCACCACGCCGCAACTCTCCCACCCGCAGAGCGCCGCCGCCCCGCGCCTCCGCCGCACCCGTCTGCGCGCGAGGCAGTGCCGGGGTGAGGCAGCGCCTCTCTCCGCCGCAGGCCGTCTTCTACAAGGCTGCGATGCCGGGCCCGGAGCGGGCCGCTCGCCTCAAGGACCTCCTCAAGCAGCTCGATCTTGTCGAGTCGCTGCTGCGGCCCGCGGGGCCCTACTGTGTCGGCGACGCGATCTCCTTCGCCGACGTCGTCCTCTACCCGACCGTCGCCATGATGCAGGACCAGGCCGCCGCTTCGCTCGTGGGGTCCGTCACCGAGGGCCGTCCAAAGCTGGCGGCGTGGCTGGCGCACTGCAACGCCGACCCGCGCTTCCGTGGCGTCGCCGATAAGATCAAGGCCTTCGTCGACACCTTCCTGGGCAAGGCCGTCGCCGGCATCACCGCCAAAGGGTGCGGATAAGCCTATGTACAGGTCAAGCCGCGCCGCAAGTCGGGGCGCGACCCATTGCATGACAGGAGCGACGCAGGGACGTCGCACTCTGTCCCACTATTTATTTTGCTGTTGCTTTTGAGTGGGGAAGTTGCTAGTTGGCTAGTTCCACTGAATTCACACTCTGACACGCTAAAAATCTTGAAAACGTCCAACGGAGCTCCGTGTTGCTCCCAGCGCCCTCCCCCGCGCTCCCTGCGGCCATGGCCGATGATGCTCTAGTATGAGAGGTCTCGATGCGGATGCGCGCGTCCCGCGTCGTACTGACCGAGCGTGAGCCCCGCTCTGGCGCGGGCGCGACACCAGCGAGCTCGACGTGTACGAGAGCGGCCGCGTGGCCCTCTGGCACCACGCCGGCTGCTCCCAATCCGGCACCTGGCAGGCTGCCTGCTTCTTTGCGTGGCTCGTCCGAGCGGAAGGCTGCGCTGCACGCTCCACCGGCTCACGACACGGGCGCGGCCGCCGCCGGCGCCGCCTCCGCCGCCGGCGGGAGCACGCCGCGGAAGATCTTGCCCAGCTTGAGCAAGCCCTTGGCGCGCTCGCGGCGGACGTCTTTTGAGACGGACGTGTCGGCGCAGCATTTGGCGACGGCGGACGCGACCGTCGACTCGATGTCAATGGCCATCAAGTTGTAGAGCGAGTTCTGCATCTGCGCGGCGAACTGCGCCTGCTGCGCCGCCTTCTGCTCGTCGTCGAGCTTGTCGAACTCGGCGGCGTCCTTTGCCATCTGCTGCGACGCGCGCAGCGCCTTGGAGGCGGAGGCGAACTGGTGGCTCAACGCCGCGTGGCCAAACCAGTCGTGCCCCTTCACGCCGAGGGCGCGGTCCGCCGAGAGTTCGTACTCGATGCCTGCGGTGGAGTGCGCGCGCGCTGTGAGGGATGGCGACATGCGTGTGGGTACGGTGCGTGCGCGCGCTGTGAGGGTCGTGTAGGTACAGGAGTTGCGCTCGCGCACCGATGCTGGCGAGCATCTGCGGACCCATGTGCAGCTCGTGGAGCTCGGCGACCTCCACCAGCGCCTCGCGCACAAACTTCTCCTTGTCCCCACTCACCCACTCATCCAGGCGCGTGGCCAGCAGCTTCGCGAGGCGGTTTTCCCGCGCGTCCTGCGCAGCCTTGAGCTTCTCGGCCGTGGCCTCCTTCGTGAGCCCTTCGTCCTGCAGTCGCTGCTGCGTGACCACCGCCAGATCGCCCACGAGGTGCCCAAACTTCCGCTCCCCAAACATCATCGCGAACACGACCCCCGGGTCCGCCAGCGGCGCGTCGTTGAGCCCCGCCATACCGAGCTCGTCGTATCTGCGAGCGACGAGGAGACGGAATCATGAGACGGGGCATGGGTGCGAGTGGGGGGCGCTCCGCGTGTGCGCGCGGCGTACTTTTTGCGCTTCGGCACGTCCGACAGCACCTGGTACGCGTCGCCGATGGCGTGGAACTTCTCCTTGTCGCCTCCCTTGTCGGGGTGCTCCTTCATCGCCAGCTTGTAGTACGCCTTCTTGATCTTGGCGGCGCTGGCGTCGGGCTCGACGCCGAGGGCCTCGTACAGGCCGCGCTCCTTGGGCGTCGCCGTCGGCGTGTACTCAGGCGCCTCCGCCTCGCCCTCCACGAGCTTGCGGCTCTTCCGGTACTCCTCCTGCGCCTCCACCTCGACGGCCGCCAGGTCGATGGTCGTCTTGGGTCCCTCTGGAGACGGGTACGGGACGGGGACGGGCCCGTGTGCGTATGCGCCACCTGTCTGTGGAAAGGCCGTGTTTGGCTTTCATTCAAGCGTTTCGCGCGACAACCTTGGAGCACTTGGAGTGCAGTCGGTAACCTCACATCCAGGGCCGAGGAGCCAACCTAAGAAAAAATTTGGGTCGCCGGAAGTTTCTCAGAAACTGGGGCACTGCTGACTGCTCTGTTTGCGATGTTGCTCGTCGGCTCAGCCACCGTGGCCCTCCGCCGCCCCGACGTGGGTCCAATCCGCAGCCCATCGCTGCGCTCGAGCGCGTTCTCGCTGCGCATGACCGCTCCTCCTGCCGAGGGACCGGCGGCGGCGGCCATTCGCCGCTATTTTGCCGCCTGGAACGAGCGTGACATGACGGCGGCCGTCGCTCAGTTCGCCGACGAGTGCGAGTACGACGACACGCAGTACGCAGACGCCTTCAGCGGCAAGGAGGCACTCGAGGCGCACCTCAACCGCGTCGCCGACGCGCTGCCGCCAACCTTTCAGTTCTGCATAGACGAGGTTGCCGACGCAGGCGCCACCTGCGGCGTGCAGTGGCACGTCGAGAACGACGGCCAGCCGCTGCCCTTCACTCGCGGCTGCTCCATGTACAAGACCGACACTGCCGGCCTACTCGTCTCCGGCTTCGACGTGCCGGAGCCAGCGCCGCTCAAGCCCGGCTCGGCGGGTCTCGCGCTGCTCAGCCTCGCCTCCAAGGTCATCAAGGAGCCGGTGCGGGGCGTGCCGCTCGTCGCGTGGGGCCTCTACTGCAGCATCGTCTTCTTCTCGAATGGCATCCTCCCCGGCCCGGACGCCACCCAGCTCGACGCCGCCACCTGGGTCGAGGTGCGCGACCTGTCGCTCAACTTTTGGCTCCTCTCGCCGCTGCTCGGCCTCCCCTTCGCGCCGACCGTGCACCCCGGCCTCGAGGCCATCTTCAACCTCCTGCTCGCCTGGGCGGCGGCCTTTGGCGGCTTCCTGGTCGACGGCCGCAAGGGCCGCCCCTCGGGCTCGATGCTCCCGACCGTGCTCTGGATGCAGCTGCTGACCAACGCGTTCTTCCTGCCGTACCTCGCCACCCGCTCGCCCGAGGGCGGCGAGGTCGTCTACGCGGACGAGTTCGACGAGCCGGCGGCGGCGGTGGGCGAGTCGCGGCTCCTCGGTCCGCTCCTCGCCTCGGTGGGCACCCTCGCCCTCGGCTGGGGCGTGGCGGGAAGGCCAGAGTTCGGAGACCTCCCCGCGCGGCTCGCCTCGCTCGGCGAGCTCCTCTCGCAGGACCGGCTCGGCTCGAGCTTCGTGGTCGATCTCGGCCTCTTCGCCTGCTTCCAGGGCTGGCTCGTGGACGACGACCTCCGCCGCCGCGGCGTCGAGCCAGAGCAGGCCGGCGCGCTGCGCACCGCCGCAAGGTGTGTGCCCTTCTACGGCCTCTGCGCCTACCTCGCCCTCCGCCCTGCGCTCCCCACGCGCCCGCCCGCGCCGCCGTCGCCAGCGGGAGGCGCGGCGGCGGCGGCGGCGCGCGCGAGCGTCCAGATGGCCGCCCGCCCGCCGCCACGCGGCTCGCCGAGGATGTCGCTCGCCGGCAGCGAGGCGGCGGCGGCGGCGGCGGAGGCGGCGGCGGCGGCGGCGGCGGAGGAGGCGGCGGCGGCGGAGGCGGCGGAGGAGGCGGCGGAGGAGTACGACGTGGTTGTGGTTGGGAGCGGGCTGGGCGGGCTGAGCGCGGGCGCGCTGAGCGCCAAGTACGGCCACAAGGTGCTGGTCTGCGAGGCGCACTACATCGCGGGCGGCTGCGCGCACGCCTTCGAGCGCGGCGGGTACACGTTCGACAGCGGGCCGTCGCTGTGGAGCGGGTGCGCTGCGCCGTCGACCAACCCGCTGCGGCAGGTGCTCGACGCGGTCGGCGAGTCGCCGGAGTGGGTGCAGTACGGCGGCTGGAACATGTATACACCCGAGGCGCCGGCCGGCTTCTACGCCGCCGCGGGCGACATGGGCGAGTGGCGGCGGACGATGGCGCGGCTGGGCGACGGCGAGAGGACGGTCGGTCAGTGGGACCGGCTGCTCGAGTTCATCGAGCCGCTGCAGCGCGCCGTGCTCGCCGTGCCGCCGATCGCGCTGCGGGCGGACGTGGGCGCCGTGCTAACGGCGGGACCCTACATGGGCGCGATGGCTGACCCGCGCATCGGCTTGATTGGTGAACGAATGAACGAATTCGGTAATGAATTAGGCGCGATGGCTGACCCGCGCATCGGCTTGCGCGCGTACCTGCTCTCTGGCACGTGGTCGGCGGTGCTCGAGGCTGCGGGCGTGACGGACCCGTGGCTGCGCAACTGGTTCGACTTCCTCGCCTTTGCCTTCTCGGGGCTGCCGTCGGACGGCACCGTCGCCGCGGCCATGGTCTACATGCTCGCCGAGCTGCACGCCGACGGCGCGAGGATGGACTACCCCCTCGGCGGATCGGGCGCGGTCGTGGAGGCGCTCGTGCGCGGCCTGCGCAAGCACGGGGGCGAGCTGCGGCTGCGCAGCGCCGTCGAGCAGATCCTCGTGGACGAGGCGGACGGCCGCTGCACGGGCGTGCGGCTCGTCGGCGGCCGCGTCGTGCACGCGCGGCGCGCAGTCATCTCGAACGCCCCCGTCTGGCAGACAGCGGCGCTCCTGCCTCCGGCAGCGCGCGCTGCGGTGCGCGCCACCGGCAGCGCCCCGCTCGACGCGAGCACGCCTCCGACGCCGTCCTTTGTGCACCTGCACCTCGGCATCCGCTCCGATGGGCTGAGCGAGCAGGCGCTGTCCTCAGTCCACCACATCGCGGCTCTTCCTAGACCTCTCCTGGGACCTTTCCTGGAACCTTCCCAGGCGCTGTCCTCAATCCACCACATCGTGGCTCTTCCTAGACCTCTCCTGGGACCTTTCCTGGAACCTTCCTAGGCGCTGTCCTCAATCCACCACATCGTGGCTCTTCCTAGACCTCTCCTGGGACCTTTCCTGGAACCTTCCCAGGCGCTGTCCTCAATCCACCACATCGTGGCGCCCGGGCGGCAGAGCGGGCGGCGCAGGGCAAGGGGAGCGGCCCTCCTCACGAGTGCGCGCGCGTGCGGGAGTAGGTGCCAGAGTGGGAGAAGCTGACGCAGCCGCAGTCGGCCGCCTTCGTCTCGGTGCCGTCGCTGCTCGACCCCTCCCTCGCGCCCGAGGGCCGCGCCGTCATCCACGCCTACTTGCCCGCCACCGAGCCGTACGAGGTCTGGGAGGGCCTCACGCGCGGATCGGCGGAGTACGAGCGGCTCAAGGCACGAATTAGTCAACTAGTTAATTCACTAGGCGCATAATTAATTCACTAATTAGTACGGGCGGCTCAAGGCGGAGCGGGCGGCGCCGCTGTACGCCGCCATCGAGCGCTTCATCCCCGACGTGCGGGCGCGGGTCGATGTGGAGCTGGTCGGCTCGCCGCTCACGCACGAGCGCTTCCTGCGCCGCCACCGCGGCACCTACGGCCCCGAGCTCTCCGCAGCGGACTCCGCCTTCCCCGGCGCGCGCACGGCCGTGGACGGACTCCTGACGTGCGGCGACTCGTGCTGGCCGGGCATCGGCGTCCCGGCCGTCGCGGGGTCGGGCATCGCCGCCGCCCACGCCGTGACCGGCGCGGGCGCGCAGCGCGAGCTCCTGCGCGAGATGCGCGAGCGGGGCACGCTGCTGCCGGCGTGAGCGCGCGGCGCGTCGGCACGAGGCGCATTATACGAGACACTTCTGACCACGTTCGCGATCCGTCTGAGATGTGTTAGCTGTGCAAACTACTGATTTTCTCATACTCAACGTACACAGTCACAGAGGATGAGGAGCCAGCTCGAGAGAGGTCCGCACACTGTGTCGCCAGCGCTCCACTTGACTCACCAGAGCGTTGTGCACACGTGCGAGAGTATGACCGGGCTTAAAGCGCAAGCAGCCCGGTCACGATAAACGGAACCATGAGCAGGGCGGCCTTGTGCGCCGGCGTGGTCTCCAGCTTGAGCTCGGCATACACCGGGCCGACGACAGCGCAGATGGCCATGTACGCGACCAGCGCGGGCACAGCTGCCGCAACGTCCATCTTGTAGTTGAGCAGATACACCGTGTACAGGATGCACAGCCCAATGTTGCGTGCGAAGAAGGAGTGGTACTTGTCGGGCGTGACGACAAAGTTCTGGGTGATGGTCATCTCTGGGGCGAGCAGGAAGCCGACGCCGTACAAGCCGAAGAAGGCCGAAGCCGCCTTGAGCCACACGCCTTGGTCGACCATGCCGCCGCCGCGCAGCTGGAGGGCGGTCGACGTCGAGGACGGCTTGACGGCGGGCTGGGGCACAACGGGGCCGCCGGCCACCTTGAGGGCCGACGCCGTGGCGAGGAAGGTGACGAGCAGCAGCTTGGTCATGAGCAAGCGCTCGGTGATTGTCGGTGGTGGGTGGATGATGTGTGTCTCGGGTAGGGAGGGGTCTGTCTTTTTTATAGCCCCAGCCGACTCCGCGTGAACTCTCGAGGGATCTCGAGTTGCTCCCTGCTGCTCGGTGTACGAACTCTGTTCACACCGAGCAGCTGGGAGTGGCTGCGGCTATAGCAGACAGGGGAGGGGTGGAACGTGGAAGAAATGTGAAGCGATTCGGATTTGTGAAACCTTCGTCTCGACTTTTTTCGCGAGCCACAGGCGCAATATTCACTGTTACACAGACCTCCCTGGCCGTGCTGCTCGTGTGCTCGAGCCGGCGCTGCAGCCGGACATCCTCCTTGCTTGCCTCGCGCGCCTCTTTTGCGGCCTCATCCCTACCCCCTTGCGCGCTCTGCATCCCCAAAACGCACTCCTCGTGGCGGGGCCCCTCATTCCCCGTTTCTTTTAAAACCAAAACACATATTATTGTGTTGTGGTGTAAAATTCTCTTTTTCGGTAAAATCTTTCGCGCTATGTCCGCAGCGCGCCACTCGCCGCCTCATCCGTCGCGCGGCGGCGACGTCCCTGCAAGCATTCGGAAGGCCGCCGTGGATGGCCAAGTGGGAGCGGTGCTGTCGTGGTTCGACAGCGGCGGCGGCGGGTGAAGTCAATATATTTTAAAGCGCCTGTGTGACGGCCCCGATGACACGCGCGCCGCTTTGTGAACAACTTTCTCGCAACCCATTGAATACAGTAGCACGTATGAGTGCCCAAAGTGCGACGCTCGGAGGTGGTGTCACCCCTTGCTACCGCTAACCTGACGCGTCCATCCGCGCCACGATGGACTTTGCGAGCTCTATGTTCGCCTCTGAGGCCACGCAAGACTCGGCCTCAGCGGCATCGCTGTCGGGCAGCCGCGTCGCGCGCGCCCCGCTGCTTGCGTGCTCCACCAGCGCCCCGCCCCAGCCGCCGCCTCCGCGCGCGAGCTGGCCGAAGCCGACCACGGCGAGGGTGAAGCCGACGCGCTCCTCGCGCGGGACCCACCTCTCGAGCTGCACGCGCACGCCCTCTGGCCCCGCACGCGCGGCGGCCCCGTCCACCCAGCCCAGCCGGGTCGCCACGCGAAACACGTGCGTGTCCACGACGATCCCCGCCTCCGCCTCCCCAAACGCCACGCTGCGCATGAGGTGTGCAATCTTGGGACCCACGCCGGGAAGCTGGACCAGCGCGTCGTACTCGCGCGGGACGCGCCCGCCGTGCCGCTGCGCGTGCTCGGCCGCCGCCCGGACGTACCTCGCCTTGGAGGCGCAAAAGTTGCAGCTGTGCACCAGCCGCAGCAGCTCCTCCTCGCCGAGAGCCGCAACGCCCGCGGCGCCCTCGCCGGCGCACAGCCTAAGCATGGCGCGCGTCGCCGCCAGCGCAACGCGGTCGCGGCACTGCACCGAAAGCAGACTGGCGACGAGCGCCCAGAACATGCCGTGCCGCGGGTCGCCGACGCCGGGCTCCTCGCCCGTGCCGAGCGAGAGAAGAAAGCGATGAAAGTCGTCGACGCTTGCGCGCTTGCCCTGGCGGAAGCTGGCGATTAGACGGTACTCCCGCAACTTCTCCGCCGCGGACAGCGGCGCGGGACTCGCAGATGGCGCCGGCTTGGCCGGACTCGCCTTTGCCGCAGCGCTGCTAGCGGACGGCGCCGACGCCTTTGCCGCAGCGCTGCTGCCGGACGGCGCCGACGCCTTGGGGCTCGACGTGACGCGCGGCCGCTTCGGAGCAGCAGGCTGGTTAGCGTCGAACGCGAAGGAAGCGAACGGGTTGTCGTCAATCGCGGCCCAGCTGATCGCGCCTGTCGCGGGCTACGCGCAATTCTCAGACGCTTTGAAATCTGTTTTACTAGCAGGTTGGCTCGCTAGTCGCTCGCCGGGCCCGCGCACGGCCGCGCAGCACGCGCGGGCCTATTTTTGTGGTTGATAAGGTGGCACCTTCGACATTGCGTTTCTTTTCTTTATAGGCTGTCCCCCAACGGAAGAGGCCTCGCTCCTATTGGAACACTCCAACATCAGATTTGCCTCGTGCGTCCCTTTTTGAGGCGGAAAGCTATTTTCTTTTGGGTCCTGTGGGCACCCCCTACCTCTATTTAGGATTCCTAAGCTTAAAGGCCCGCTAAACGCGCGAGGCGGTGGCGGCGGTGGGGGGGATCGACAGGGGAGGCGGCGGGATTGACAGGGGATGGGGCGGCCACGAGCGGAGCGGCGGCGAGAGGGGGGGCGGCGGCGAGGCGCCAACGAGCGAGGAGCCCGCGCCATCAGAGGGACGCGCCGCTGCGAGATGGAGGGCGGCGGTGACGGAGGCAAGGCGCGAGGCGGCGGCGGCGGCGGCGGCGGCGAGAACGGCGGCACCGAGTTGTCTTGGTGAGCGGAGCGGCGGCAGGAGGAGGAGCAGCTCGCTGTTGAGCGCTTTTGAGCCTGGGATCCCATGCCACTGCGACCGGCGTGCCCGGGAACAGAGATCGCGCGCGCGCCGCCACTCACGACGCGCGCGCGATCTTCGCGGAGTCGGGTCCCCAGAGGGAAGCGGTCTTCTCGGCCGACGTCCAGCGGCGCGGAAGGACAGGCGCAGCGGTGCACCGCGCCGCGTTGATTCGCGACCACCGTCGGCCGCGGACGGCGGCGGCGTGGCGGCCGCGGGCGCTCGTGAGACGCGCCGCTCTGCGCTGGTTCGGTTCGTTCGACTCGTTGTGCCGCCACACGCCCGGCGGCCGCGGGTCCCAGAAGTGGTCGCGCGGGCCTCTTCCTGGCGGCCGCGGGACGGCGTCGGGCACGTCGTCGGTCGCAACAGATGCGCGGCGAGCCGCGGCACGTCGTTCCTGGCGCTGGTGGTTTGAGGTCGGCATCGTCCAGAGTTCGGTCGACGAGTCGAGAGCTTCAGCTGGCCGAGGGTGCCACCTTTGTGCTCTTTGTGCACGAAATGGGAAATATATCTCTTTGATCGACTTGTTCTCCGGAGGGCGCCTGGGTCTAAATTTAGTGCGTGTGAATGAACTTTAGTGATAGTTTAGTGCGCTATTTAGTGTGTGTTCGAGTGCGTGTGTAGTGCGTCTCTAGCGCGAATTTAGCACAAATTTAGCACAAATTTAGCGCAATTTTAGCGCAAATTTAGCGCAAATTTAGCACATATTTAGCACATATTTAGTGTGTTTTATCTCCAATTTAGCGCCACATTTAGTTCACTTTAGGTGCGGGCAGCTGCAGTACATTTAGTGTGGGTCCCGCATCTTTAGTGCGGGCACGCACCTTTAGCACGGCTTCCCGGCCACACCACAGCTTGAGCACTTGAGCACTGGATAGGGCCGATTCCGCGTGGTACGGGACCCCTCGATCGTCTCGCCCTCCCTCACTGGTGTGTTCATCGGGGGGGGTCATAACAAACACGGTACAGGATCGAGGTGCACGCTGCCGAAGCAGTGTCGTCCCCCCTCTCCCCGACGGCGATGGCGGTGTGACCGATCGAGCTACAAGAGGAGCTTGTTCAGCAGGATCAGGAGTGGCCAGATGCACTACCTCACTGGGCATGAGACCACCGTACGACGCATCCATCACCGTCTCGGATTTATGTGGAATCGAACCACTCCGGGAGATCGATAAACACTTCACACCGCACTAAATTTAGACGCAGGCAAGTAATAGCCACATGAAACCGAGACCCCTCCCCACCACCCTGATCCCCCCACCCCCTTGCTCCCCTCCCCCCCTCGGGAGGGCCGAACTGAGGCGCCCGTGGGGACCCCGCACTTCCCTTCCCCCCTCGGAGGGCCGGACTGAGGCGTCGAGGGCCCCGCTCTTTCCCTCGCATAGCGGCCACTCTTCGGATCGCTGGTCGAGCGACCCGGGGGATGCCCCGCGCGCCTGACCCAGGCGCGAGAAACGAATCTGCGAGGCGTGGCCGCTCACGCGGCCCGATGGGGAGGAACGGGGCGAGCCCCCTCCAACCCACCCGCGCTAGGTCTCGGGGGACGAAGGGGTCACACCCGACGACCTCGGGAACTAGCCGGGGCAGTCGGAGAAGTGGCAACTCCGTGCACTGACGGTCGGCCGCCAGAAAACACGCCTCCGTGGCTCGGGTTACACCAATCCTCGCTACCCAACGCGGCCAAAGGATATCCACCTCGAGGTTCTCGAGAACACAGGCGCCCTCCTTCTCCAGATATACAGGTTGGCGTCTATGGCGTCTTCGGTCCAGCGAGTGCGGTTTGCCATTTGCCTCTCCGGTGCAGCTCCGTACCTCACTCCCCAGACGGCGCTGCTCCTGCGCCACCACCTGCTCGGAGGAGGGCCGCCAGAGACCATGAACCTCTTCGCCAGCCTCCACCACGAGTACCTCAAGCCGAACGCTTCCAGCACCGAGACCCTCCTGGTCGCGCTGCGCTCGCTGCAACCCGCTGCGTCCGAGGTGTACAGCAGCGGGCCCTACCGCTGTGCTTGGCGAGGGTGCAGCAACTTCAGTGAGACCTCCCCGGAAATGTGCACATTTCTCGTGATGTTTGAGGGCATCCGACGAGCTTTTCGGCTCATGGAGGCGTTCGAACAGCAGTACGGGGTCGGGCACGCGTTTGTGGTGCGCCACCGCTTCGACGTGCTGACCAACTTTCACGGTGCCCTGCCGCCGAGTGTCGGTGACGCCGAGGGCATCGTCGGCTTCATCGGGCTGCGACGGCCCGAGCAACAGGAGGTCTCTCGATTCGACTTCGACGACAAGGGGTGGATCTGCACGCGGTTGGCAGCACCCGTGGTCTTTGCGAGCGTCGTGGCGGCCAAGGGAGGATGCGGCGAGCTGCTGCACAGAAACAGCCTCCAGCCACGATGTGACGCGCTGGCGCCTGGACGCTTCCACACCATGTATTATGAGTGCGTTGTCCTCGTGCGCTTGCTGACGGCTCACCCCAATGCTACCATATGGGACAACCGCCGCTCGAGTTACACGACTGCTGCACACCTGAGTTTGCGCAGGGGGCACTGCAAGGCTCCTAAAGCGAGCGAGACCAGTGCGTGCTCATGAACGATGCGCGGTAAAACCAACCCGTCGGATCATCTCAGGGGGGGGTCTGGACCCACCCCCCAAGGTGATGGATCTCAGGGGGGGGTCTGAGCCCCCCCCCCCAAGGAGCAAGGTGATGGATCGGGAACCCTCTGGCTGTCGATTTTTTTTGTGTATATCTTCACCGCTACCATAACGGGACAATTGTATTCCGCACAGCCGTTGCCTCTCATTCATTCTTTGTGCGCACTGACCTCGAGTTCCATTCATAGAAACGCCGGCTTTCTTTGCAGCAAGTTTGTGAGAAGGTAACTTCATGACGAACACTCTGCCCTGCATCTTCTCCTTCTCCATCTACTCTATCTTGCGCTTGCGCTCGCGATGAAATGGCCTGCAGATGCGTCATCGGCATCGTCTTTATGCGCTTCAACGTGTCTTGCAGATTGTCGACAGTTGTCTGTATAAAGTGGTAATTCCAACGTTTGCCTGGTTCGACTTCTTGTTGATCGCGTCCTTGTACAGCATGTACGGCGTACCCGTCTCCGTCTGCGACTCGATAATCTTCAACCACAGCGTTTGCGCCTGAATCGTCTTGCGCGCCTTGCCCTCTCGCTCGTACTGTTCGTACAGCTCTTCAAACTCGTCACCGTATGTTTTGTCGAGTCTAGGGCACTCATGCGGGCAGAAGAGAGACCACCCGAGGTCCGCTCGCGGTTCTCTTCCTTGCCGTGATTTTTGCGAAGCTCCAGAAAGTCCTCCACGTCGACGTGCCACGGCTCCAGGTACACGGCAAAGGCACCTTTCCGTTTGCCTCCTCCCTGGTCGACGTAGCGAGCTGCGGAGTCGAAAACTCGGAGCATGGGCGTTAAGGTCATTCACGGGTGTCCGCGGCCCACTGTGCCCGCTGGTAGGACAGTGATCGCCGCAAACCCCGTGCGCCGTGCCCGTGGTCAGCTCGATATCATACGGAATATTTTTTGTAGGCACCGGAACGCCAAAAAACTAGTCTTCGAGGGAAAAGTAATCCGAGCAACCCGCGGCCGCTATGAATTAAAATGGGCGGTTTTTCGCACAGAGGGCACGCGAGGTACGACCGTGCCCGGCCGTGCTATTAAAGCGACTCGGCTCTCTAACAGGCTGCAGCCCAGAGCCACACGGAGTCTACGCGCATCGCTTGTGCATAGCCTCGACCAATCTCCTGTTCACGGTGCAACCGTGAACAAAGAGCTTCTTCGAACCGTTACAAACACGACGCGAGCCGCCCAGCAGGGAGCCTGGGCGACTCGCTTTGACGCTGGCCAGGCCGGAGGCGAGTGCCGCCGCCAGGCCACGACCGACCGCGCCCGTCCTACGGACGGGCGCAATGGGCCAAACGGATCCGCGCCGCAGTGCGTGCAGCACCGCGCCGCCAGTCCAATACATGCAAACCGCAGGCTTTGCAGCGAGGACCAGCCTGCTCAGCTTCGAACGAGGAGCCAGCAGCCAACAGGAGGACAGCAGTCGTCCACGCCAGCTGGAATGCGAGGACCGCCCCAGCCGCAGGTGGCCCCATACGTAATGCTTTGCGCAAAGCACCGTGCAAAAATGGCGTCTTTACATGGCCATGCAGCAAGCAGTGCCGCCAGATGAGCACACGACCATGGGCGAAGTGCACCCGCAGGGCCAGCTGGCATTGCGTGGTGCACTCGCAAATCAACCCGCCCTCTCGTGCCAAGGACGGCGCGAGGGGAGCGCGAGCATCCACCAGCAGCCGTCTGGCTGCTGGTGTGAGCCATACTCAACACGCCGCGCGGAGCGGAGTGCGGAGCCATGAATGAGCAGTAGAGCCTGCGCCTCGAAGCACGGCCTGCGGCCCCTACCCTGCCGTCGGCCCGCCACTGGCGGCGTCGAGGACAGTTCGAGACGGTGTGCGGTGTCAGCCTGTGAGGCGCACTGCACTCGAACTGCACTAGTGGAAGCACCAACACGGCCCTCGGGCTGTTTGGGGACCCGGACGCCAGCGGCCCCCCGGGAGAGGGGTGTCCTGGTTGTGTCTTGTCTGAGTGCCAGCGCACGCAGCTATCTTAACGGCGTGAGGTCAGCAAGAACCCTCGCGGCGTAGTGCAGTCTGTGAGGGTGTGTGCCTGCACGGATTGCACAAGTAACAAATCACTCCTGTCGGCATTCCTCCGGAACGGGGCGACAGAACACGTGTTATTCCGTAGTCGGGATGACCACAAATCGTCAGGGCACTCAAGAAGAGGCCAGCCGGCACTTCGAGCTGCGCTCGACATGGGGATGCGCACAGTCAATATATGTCAATGCGCGCCGCGCGAGCGAGTCTAAAGACTCGGTCGCGAACTTTCCGAGAAGGAAGACAAGTGGGGCGGCGGCGTCGATAGATATCGACGCCGCCGTCGCCGCGCATCATGACGAGTTCGCATTCCCCATGTGACCCTCTATACCTCACCTTCGAGACAAGCCAGGGTTCAACCCAATGGACCTAGTGTGGCGTCGAGGCCCGCACTGTCTGGACATGCGGGCCGCGGCTGACAGAACGGCGGGCTAGGCATTGAGAGCCCAGGAGTTTTAATTCGCACAGAGGGCACGCGAGGTACGACCGTGCCCGGCCGTGCTATTAAAGCGACTCGGCTCTCTAACAGGCTGCAGCCCAGAGCCACACGGAGTCTACGCGCATCGCTTGTGCATAGCCTCGACCAATCTCCTGTTCACGGTGCAACCGTGAACAAAGAGCTTCTTCGAACCGTTACAAACACGACGCGAGCCGCCCAGCAGGGAGCCTGGGCGACTCGCTTTGACCTCCCCCCCCGCCCCACAGTGCGCCAGCGGCGCATTTGGGATGGACACCACACGTCGTCACACCGAGCAGCTCTCTGTCAACGGAAATTTCTCAGTTCTGATGCGTCATCCGGATGGAGCAACTGGCTTTGCTTAGATTGGGAGTCCTTTTGCTATGTGCTCTACGCGGGGAACTATGCCTCTTTTAGCCTCATCCTGCAGGCGATAGCCCAGCCCGCGTGCAGCGGTGGCGGGGACACTTGCAACACGAGCAGGCCTCGCTTCGGCGCACTCGATCCTTCACAACGGGCCGCCCGCAAGGACGCGTGTGCGGCCCTCTCTACTCGACCTGTGCCACGGCACGGGTCGTTCTAGTCATGCAGCCGCCCCGGCGATCGTGCTGGGGGCGTATCTCAGCACTCACCGCGCGAGACGCGTGGCGTGCCACAAACCAGTAAGCAGCAGCCTCCGCTGCTGCGACTCGAATGCTTCAAACGCGCACCTGTGCTTGCGCACGGCGTGCTCTACACGAGCCCCCCGGCCGCACGAGCGTGCGGGCGGCTCGAATCCACCCTTCCCCCGCCCTAGCCACTGTTGGCTGGGCGGTGGGCGCCGTCCGCCTTGCGGCGACGGCGACACTTGCAACACGAGCACACCTCGCTTCGGCGCGCTCGACCCTTCACAACGGGCCGCCCGCAAGGACGCGTGTGCGGCCCTCTCTACTCGGCCTGTGCCACGGCACGGGTCGTTCTAGCCATGCAGCCGCCCCGGCGATCGTGCTGGGGGCGTATCTCAGCACTCACCGCGCGAGACGCGTGGCGTGCCACAAACCAGTAAGCAGCAGCCTTCGCTGCTGCGACTCGAATGCTTCAAACGCGCACCTGTGCTTGCGCACGGCGTGCTCTACACGAGCCTCCCTACCGCACGAGCGTGCGGGCGGCTCGAATTCACCTTTCCCCCGGCGGCGGCGGCGACACTTGCAACACGAGCACACCTCGCTTCGGCGCGCTCGACCCTTCACAACGGGCCGCCCGCAAGGACGCGTGTGCGGCCCTCTCTACTCGACCTGTGCCACGGCACGGGTCGTTCTAGTCATGCAGCCGCCCCGGCGATCGTGCTCGGGGCGTATCTCAGCACTCACCGCGCGAGACGCGTGGAGTGCCACACAAACCAGTAAACAGCAGCCTCCGCTGCTGCGACTCGAATGCTTCAAACGCGCACCTGTGCTTGCGCACGGCGTGCTCTACACGAGCCTCCCTACCGCACGAGCGTGCGGGCGGCTCGAATCCACCCTTCCCCCGGCCTAGCCACTGTTGGCTGGGCGGCGGGCGCCGTCCGCCTTGCGGCGGCGGCGACACTTGCAACACGAGCACGCCTCGCTTCGGCGCGCTCGACCCTTCTCAACGGGCCGCCCGCAAGGACGCGTGTGCGGCCCTCTCTACTCGACCTGTGCCACGGCACGGGTCGTTCTAGTCATGCAGCCGCCCCGGCGATCGTGCTCGGGGCGTATCTCAGCACTCACCGCGCGAGACGCGTGGAGTGCCACACAAACCAGTAAGCAGCAGCCTTCGCTACTGCGACTCGAATGCTTCAAACGCGCACCTGTGCTTGCGCACGGCGTGCTCTACACGAGCCTCCCTACCGCACGAGCGTGCGGGCGGCTCGAATTCACCTTTCCCCGCCCTACCGACTGTTGGCTGGGCGGTGGGCGCCGTCCGCCTTGCGGCGGCGGCGACACTTGCAACACGAGCACACCTCGCTTCGGCGCGCTCGACCCTTCACAACGGGCCGCCCGCAAGGACGCGTGTGCGGCCCTCTCTACTCGACCTGTGCCACGGCACGGGTCGTTCTAGTCATGCAGCCGCCCCGGCGATCGTGCTCGGGGCGTATCTCAGCACTCACCGCGCGAGACGCGTGGCGTGCCACACAAACCAGTAAGCAGCAGCCTCCGCTGCTGCGACTCGAATGCTGCAAACGCGCACCTGTGCTTGCGCACGGCGTGCTCTACACAAGCCTCCCTACCGCACGAGCGTGCGGGCGGCTCGAATCCACCCTTCCCCCGCCCTAGCCACTGTTGGCTGGGCGGCGGGCGCCGTCCGCCTTGCGGCGGCGGCGACACTTGCAACACGAGCACACCTCGCTTCGGTGTGCTCGATCCTTCACAACGGGCCGCCCGCAAGGACGCGTGTGCGGCCCTCTCTACTCGACCTGTGCCACGGCACGGGTCGTTCTAGTCATGCAGCCGCCCCGGCGATCGTGCTCGGGGCGTATCTCAGCACTCACCGCGCGAGACGCGTGGCGTGCCACAAACCAGTAAGCAGCAGCCTTCGCTGCTGCGACTCGAATGCTTCAAACGCGCACCTGTGCTTGCGCACGGCGTGCTCTACACGAGCCTCCCTACCGCACGAGCGTGCGGGCGGCTCGAATCCACCCTTCCCCCGCCCTAGCCACTGTTGGCTGGGCGGCGGGCGCCGTCCGCCTTGCGGCGGCGGCGACACTTGCAACACGAGCACACCTCGCTTCGGTGTGCTCGATCCTTCACAACGGGCCGCCCGCAAGGACGCGTGTGCGGCCCTCTCTACTCGACCTGTGCCACGGCGCGGGTCGTTCTAGTCATGCAGCCGCCCCGGCGATCGTGCTCGGTGCGTATCTCAGCACTCACCGCGCGAGATGCGTGGCGTGCCACAAACCAGTAAACAGCAGCCTTCGCTGCTGCGACTCGAATGCTTCAAACGCGCACCTGTGCTTGCGCACGGCGTGCTCTACACGAGCCTCCCGGCCACACGAGCGTGCGGGCGGCTCGAATCCACCCTTCCCCCGGCCTAGCCACTGTTGGCTGGGCGGTGGGCGCCGTCCGCCTTGCGGCGGCGGCGACACTTGCAACACGAGCACACCTCGCTTCGGCGCGCTCGACCCTTCACAACGGGCCGCCCGCAAGGACGCGTGTGCGGCCCTCTCTACTCGACCTGTGCCACGGCGCGGGTCGTTCTAGTCATGCAGCCGCCCCGGCGATCGTGCTCGGGGCGTATCTCAGCACTCACCGCGCGAGACGCGTGGAGTGCCACACAAACCAGTAAACAGC